GGCCATTTTCAAGGATTTTAAGTTAGATTTCCAACGAGATCAACCCCATCCCCAAATTCCACTCATGTTGAGAGTTATGGTTGTTTTAGTGGAACAGTGTCAGAATTTGCCTTGAACCAGCAAGGGCGTTTTTTTTGGAATTCATATCTGGTGACCATGGGACCTCATCGAGTATCATGGAATAACTAGAATAGTTGTTTTAAACCTCATTTGACTAGTTTAAGGAGGGATAATCCTTTCATATTGTAAAAGACCGTTTTACCCCTAGTATGTCATTGGGTTCGGGTAAGGACCCGGTTAGCGATCCGGACCTCTGGTTTGGGTCGTTACAATCCCAAAGCATGGTTTTATAGCTTGGTTTGCTCTCAAGGAGAGATTAGCAACCCTGGATACCAAACCAATGCAGAAGAAACAATATACCAATGCCTGTTACCTTTGTCTCTCAGCAGAAGAATCTGTGGATCACTTATTTTTCAAATGTCTATATAGCAGCCTCATTTGGAATTTCATTCAGCATGCTGCAGGTTTCTACATCAATCCTAACAATTGGAGAGATATGATTTCGTGGTGCTGAGCAACATGGACACAGAACCATTTCATTACACATAAGCTGCTTCTTTCAAGTGCCATCTACTTCATTTGGCAGGAAAGGAATGCAAGAGCATTCAGGAACAAAACAGCCTCAGCTCATCACATCACATCATCCACCTAATCAAGGGTTGCATCAGAGCAAGGTTTACATCCCTGAAGCTAAGGTCTGGTTCAGAAATTAGAAAGATTGGATTTCATTAAGCTCTTCACCAGTTGTTTCTTCAATGTTGTTCATATGTAAATGGTCAGTCCTGGTTCTTAATTGATTAGATGGTATTATAGTGCTGATATATGGATGTTGAGAATGGAGATATTGAAAGCAGATTTGGAATAGCTCAGTGGAACAATTTTACACTCTTGAAAAATAGTTGTGATGCATTAGAAAGTGCATAGATGCTGTATTATGTTTTTGCTGTCTCCTTTGGTGATCTTGTGACAACACTTGTTGTCTTAGCCTATGGCTTGTAATGTCCTTAATGGACCTCTTGTACATTCTTCTTTTATTTATCAAAGCTTACCCTTTTACCTAAAAAAAAAAAGAGTTTAGATGTACGTAACCTTACTTTCTTGCATTTGGAGAGATTGTTTGTTTTCTTCGAACTCATGACCTCCAAGTCACAATAGAACAATTTAACCGTCCAAGACTTGCCTTAAAGTATTTACAGAATCTAAACTGGTCAAATGATTTTATTTATTATTTTCAAACTCACTTTTTATTAGAACCCGTTTCTTAGAACTATAAATTCCTTTTCTTTTCTTTTCTTTTTTTTTTTTTCATTTTTTTTATTCATTTCTTTTTTGTTCTGTAGAAAAGGGTTTCAGTTAGGGGGAAAACAATAGTTCAAAACACACACACACACACACACACACAAACCTTAGCATGATAATTTCCTATCTAATTAGGTTGATTAATTTTTTAATTTTTGATACTTGATTGTCGTAAAATATTTACCTAAGATAAAAAAATATTAAAACTTAACAAAAATAACTTATTCATCAATTTTCTAACAAGTTATTTTAAACACCCCACTTGATGGATTCAACCTTCGACCTTTCTCAAACACCAAAAAATAAAAAATAAAAAAATATATACTTGAGAAAGAAAAATATTTTCTAACTAATCATAATATTTAACTTTTAAAAATCATTTTTAATAATTTAATTCCATATTACTGTCTCTATGTCTCGTACCTTCTATGGGCTCAACACTGAAAAGTCTTTCACAACAGGTTACCAAAGGGCTCAAAATCAAACCCGAGCATGAGTTGTTTGACACCTGAGATTTTCCAATCCAAGTTGTAAAAAAATATGTCCATATATATATATATTTATATATAAATGTATACATATTTGTGCTGAGTATACATGTTGACTCTCACAGTGACAAGCTATAGTTTGTAACGACATGAATATTTCTTCTTTAGTAATCCCCGCCAAAAAATGAATTATTAAGCAGAAACTACAAAAATCCACACATTGCCTCCTCACATCACATCACAATCAGCATGGCGTAGCCTTCATAGCTTCTTTTCTTTCCTGCGGAAAAAAAAAGGGCCTTGGTTTTCAAGCACAGCTCTTCAATGCCGAGTCCAGCAATCCCGCGTTCTTCCTCGGATCCCAACATCTCATTAACTATTCACTCTCACTCTCAATCCTACCACATCCCTACTTCTAACCGCTCTTCATGCTCAACCAACTCATTGAAGAATGGTTGGTCGAAGAAGATTGGTAACTTGATAACAGGAAAGAATGGTTCTCCGGCCAAGTACTCAGACTTGACCGAAGAGAGTCTTGAGGAATTTAATAGGAGGAATGAAGTTCTCAATGACAGGAGGGACTCTGTGTATAGTCCATACTACAAAGGGCTCACTGACTCGTCCCTTGTTCTCGGTCGACAGAGAGTTTCTGTGTCCAGTCCCGGGAGAGAGAGCTTTGTGGCCACTTCTGTTACTACCAGCTCAAAATCGAGTTTCATCGTCAAGATGCAATCTTGCTTTAGCATTTTCAGTAAGGAACAGAGCCCTCAGGTTGTCCATGCTGCTTCATCATTTTAGTCGTCATCAACATAAACAACAAAAGCCCATGCGAAATTCCTGGCACTTTAGCTAAATGCATGTGGTTCATTAACATTTATATATTTATGAGATAACGGAAGGTTAATTAGAAGGTATTGCTGGTGTTTAAAATGCTTAGTCGATCCTTTAGCTGTCATATTATGCATCTATTATATATTGATTTTCACACTTTTGATTAATTAAATCATATATAACCACGTGCATATATAATAAAAACACATACCCACGAAAAGATGAAATCATTCAGCAAGTTTTGTCACCTTTTTTTTGTAGCCATTTTATTTCCCGTTTTAATGACTGTATGTGGTTCTTCTTCTTAATCCTTAATAATTTTCTTTTCAAGACAAAATACAAGCAATGACACAAAGTACTCGTACAAAAGAAAGTTTCACATTTAGCAATTTTGAATCATCCAAATGCGCGCGAATTGATCATATTTTCATATATATATATATATATATATATATATATATATATATATCAAATGAGGACATGTAACATGGGTTTTAGACTTTTATTTCAGAATTTTGAATCAGAGTCTATTAGTGCAACAGTATTGTTTCCTTGTTTCTCTGCTTTAGAACATTAAAAATCCGTAACACAAACTTTCCATGACCTTGTTTTCTATCTAAACCCCAACTAACTCGCTTGTGTTACTTTTATTTTTAATTTTTAATTTTTAATTTTTATCCCTACTAACCTTTTTTTTTTTTTTTTCTTCTCTCTCTCTCTCTCTTTAATTTTAAAAAACAAATGCATCCCCTAATTGCAGGTTGAGCGGTTGTTTTAGTTAGTTTGGGCGGGCGGTTTGCATGGAGAATATTACTGACTAGTGGGACCCACAACAGACTGTTAATTAGATGATAAAAAAAGAACACAGTTGCAGTTCTCAACTAACGCCCTTGGGAGAATATCCACAATTTGTGTGACATAAATGTTCCACTTACCGATATACCATTGGCTCCAATTTTTTTTGAAAAATGCTTAGCCTAAAATTGTTAATTCCGTTAAAATGTAAAACATAAGGAGGTGAAATTCAAAGAGACTCGTAGTTTCTTATATAACACCAATAAATCATGTCGGGCCAAAAATTTTGGTTAAAATTCTAGACAAAAGTATCATTTCTCAAATTTTTTATGTTAAAAAGTAGAGTTTGACCTCTTGATTCTTAAATTGTGATTTCACTTATTTAACATTAAATAGTTGCTTTTTAGTATAAATGGAAAATTCAATACATTCTCCAAAAATCTTTTTTCCCCCTCATAAGTCATAATCTTAGTTGGTGAATTCAGGGAGAATTGAAATCATAGAAGTTCCTACTCTTGGTGGCATTGTCAAATCCGTAAATAAGACTTGGTCACACTCAGTTGCATATGACTTCTAGTACAGGGAAGCATGTGTTTAATATATAAAAGGGAACTGTCTGTTCTAACATGAATTTACATTTATGACCTTGGACTCAAAATGTTGTGCTCTTTCCTAAATCCAATATTTGATTAAAGGAAAAATTTTACCACCATTTGAATTTTGGTGCAATGATAAAAGTTTAGTTAAACTCTACACGCAAATAAATGTGTAAATTTTATTTAAAATTTACTTTGACTGGGACCATATAATAATTTATTCTGTTTTGATTAATATGTTTGCAAATGATACTCTTTCTTTTAAGCCTCTGTTCTTTCTTTTCAGGACGAAAATAAATAAAGAAGTGAAGAAAAAATAAAAACCAAAGCTCAACCTGTAGAAACAATCATATCTGTACTATTTGTTGAGTGCTATATACATAATTACATATACATTATACACATACTAATATATAATGTATCATATAAATGGAGGGTGCATATTGCGGGCATAAGCAATGAGCTAGTAGAAACATCTTTTTTGTTATTTAAATCTCTAACTATACTCACATTACCTGCAAAAATGTGATTATCATGTGACAACTTATGGCCATTTCATGGAACTGAAAAGGAAGAAAATATATAAAATAAAAATAAAAACATAACCTATGTTCAAGGTTTCGATATCATAAAAGAAGGTACGAACTATGATTTTTAGATGAAAATGCCTTCTCTTTTTTAAAAGAAGCTATAATGTGAAGGCACAATTATGAGATAGAAGATAATAGAATTTGTGTCTTCGTTGTTATACACATGTTATTCATTATTTTTTCAAGTATGTGAATATTTCACTAGAAATTTGATAAGTGGAAACTAACATGAATAAAATGTTACCAATTGAATGGCAATTTGGAAAAAAAGAAAAAGAAATGTACCAATTGAATGAGAAATTCAAGCTTATCATTTGTAACAGGGTGGATAAGGCTAGGGAATGGATAGTACTAGTGGCAACAAAGACCTCATTGTTGGTATTTCTGTAATTATCCATAAGAGCTGTGGACAATACAGGAAAAGAGAGATTTTTTTAGAGCAAAGAAATGATGAGGGAGAAAACAATGGGGTCAGTGCATATCACGCTGCAGAATGTATCAGAAATACGGAGATTATAAGTGGGCCCCAATGATTGGAATCTCGGTAACAAACTCTGCTAGCTGCCGAGTGCCAATTTGGAATTCCCTCTAAACAATTTCACTTCCAGTCTCCCCAACACAACCCAACCTAACCTACCTTTATATGCAATTCCCAAACTCATCCCCCTCCCCCATCCCTCTCTCTCTCTCTCTCAATCATCTTCAAGTTTATACAGTTGTTTCTATGGTAATCTCTTTTGGGTTTTCTCCAAAAGTACAAATTATTAATTGATATGGTGGTTTGTCTTTAGGCTTGTGTTTGAAAAAGATCAATCTGTGAACAAAGGCCAACTGGTACTTTCTTTCACAAACTTGTTTGCGCGCATACCCATGCTTTTTTATTTTTTTTTTGAATTCTTTCTGGTGTCAATTCTTGTCCTGATCATCTTTATGCCACTTTTGTTTCTCTTTAACTGGTGCAGACTGCAGAGACAAAGACCCAAAATATAGGAAAAAGACCAACAAAAACTGTGATCCGAAAAAAATGTATGAAGAAGGTGCTTGTTTTGATCCCAACTCTATGCAAGAAGGGGTGGCTGAGAATGGTTTTTCACAAACCATGCCCAACTCATCCACTGCTGGCTTCTCCATGGAAGAGCTCCCTTATCACCCAAATCCCTACCAAGAAGATCAGACTGATTCAGAGGCCGCCAACGGAGTCGCCGCCGCCGCGGCTGCCATGGATGTGGAGCTTCAACAGCAACTGGGTCGTTTGGACATGGAGCACTGCTACAACACCAACCCCAACAATCACTGCAGTGACACCCATTTGATGCAGCAAGAAGTGGCAAATGACTCCAACCACCAGGTTTTATCTTATGATCATCACCATCATCATCAGTCCAATTGGGACACCAGTAATGTCCAGGAAATGCAGGACATGAGTTACACCCAACACAATCCTCATCACCAGGATCAGCAGCATTTGCAGCAGCATGTTGATCAATTGCATCATCATCATCAACATCAACATGGTGGGTTTAATTCTTCCTCATTACCAGACACTCCATACCCTCCAACACCAGACCTCCTCAACCTCCTCCACTTACCTAGGTCCTCTTTGCTCCCCAATTCATCCATCTCCTTCGCGAATCCCGGGGACCCCAAGTCCACATTAGGGTTTCTTGGTGACCTTCCAGCTGCAGACAATGCGTCTGTGTCGAATGTTTTGTTTGATCCTCTCTTGCATTTGAACCTCCCTCCACAGCCTCCTTTGTTCAGAGAAATGTTTCAATCATTACCACATGACTATAACTTGAGAGCCTCAAGGAGTTACCCTTTGTTTGGTGGAGTGGATGAGAGGGAGGCCAATGGAGGAGGAGTGTATCAAGATGCTGCAGATGGGAGACAGTTTGATAATGGGGTTGTGGTTTTTAGTAGGGATATGAATTGTATGTCTAAAGAAAGAAATAATGGTACCAAACATTTTGCCACTGAAAGGCAAAGGAGAGATCACTTGAATCAAAAGTACAAGGCCTTAAGGAGTTTGATTCCCAATCCCACCAAGGTATATATTAATCTCTCTCTACACTCACACATACACACATAGCCACTTTAATTTGATGAACAGTTAACTACATATATATGTGTGTATATTAATTGGTTTTCATTAATTGTTTGACATTTTCAACATTATTGTGTTTTGGCATGAGTACAACTAAGATTGATAGAGCAACAGTAGTTGGAGAAGCTATTGAATACATCAAAGAGCTGATTAGGACAGTGAATGAGCTAAAAATCCTGGTGGAGAAGAAGAGATGTGGCAGGGACAGGAGCAAGAGGCACAAGACAGAAGATGCTGGTTCTGGAGAAGTAGAGAGCTGTAACATAAAGCCCACTGGCGGTGATCAAGACCAGTCCTACAGTGGTTCATCATTAAGGAGCTCATGGCTTCAGAGGAAGTCCAAGAACACGGAGGTCGATGTTCGTATCATCGACGATGAAGTAACCATCAAGGTTGTTCAGCAAAAAAGAATTAATAGCCTGATGTTCGTGTCAAAGGTCCTCGACGAGCTCCAGTTGGATCTGCACCATGTTGCCGGTGGCCACATTGGCGATTACTACAGCTATTTGTTCAACACCAAGGTGGGTAATTTTTCAATTTCATCACCCAATTTCATTGAAATATATATATGAAATGCGGTGTAGGTGTTTTGACCGTTTGTGTTTTGTTTATGTTGCAGATATGTGAAGGTTCATCAGTGTATGCTAGTGCAATTGCCAACAAACTTATTGAGGTTGTGGACAGACAGTATGCAGCTATTCCACCAACTAGCAGCTATTAGGGTAGAAATTAAAAGGATTTTATGATGAATTGGGTGGTGTTTTTCACTCTTGAATGATTACTATTTTAGTCTAATACTATTATTATTATAGAATAAAGTTGTTGTAAGGACAGGCATGGATGCTTTAGCGGCTAGACTTATTTTGTGGTTTGAATGTTGGGATTTGATCAATTGCTTTTAATGAACTAACTATCTGTAATAGATGCTCATTAATTCTCATAGATTAATTTGAGTATAGCTGTTTCACACACACACACATATATATGTATATGCTTCAGAGACAAGTTCTGCTCTTTCCAAATTTGGACATGCAGAGAATGCCTGCATGCATGAATGGATATATATATATATATATATTAACAGTTGTCTGTGCCATATATTTGGTCTTCTTTATGTTAGTTCCCAAAAAAGATTACTTGCCTATATATGTCTTTACTTTTAATTTTCAAGAACTGTTGTGTTATACTCTGGAGCTCTTTATATATGTTCAGTTTTACTTTTCACATATATATCCCAGGACTAGCTGTATTCTCATCAATTTGAAGCTACTTTTTATGTTGACTGAGAGCAGGAAGAACATCTCTCTCTCCCTGTGCGTGTGTGTGTGGGCACTTTAATCATGTGCTCAAGTTTTAGGTAGTTCACATGAACAATATTGCACACATTTGACAGTAAATTAAAATGTTGCAGTCTGCATGCCTATCTCTATAATTAAATCTATTCTGTTACTATACATAGTTAGATGCAATGTGGATTTATTTTTGTGATTGGTGACATTCTGTTGCTATTCATATACTGTATATGTGTATATGTTCATGGTATTCTTTCTTCAAGATTACATAGGCTGTTACATTGCTTCAATTGCCTCTACTATCTTCTTGCATCAATCGGAGTTGAAGTTTTGACCCTCATTCTTGTTTAGTTTGGCTCACTCTTGTGATGAGATTCAACCTATGGAGTTTGTCATAAAGTAGAATAAGTTTTGTGTTTAATTTGCAATATCTTATTACACTCTTGTGAGTTCCACTTTTTTTTGACGAGTATTTTTTAGTGGATTGAACTATCAAGTGTTGGTTCATAACCATCTAATAATTTCTTGTTTGTTTAATCGGGTTAACAAAGTCATTGAAGAGTCTTGATTATGTTTTTTTAGCAAAACTAAAATATTTCTTTGGCATTCCTGCTTGGTGGGGACTTATAGGAAGCAGTTTTGCAGAGCAAACTCAATGCAAAGATAGAGCTTACTTTTTTTATTCCCACACTTGATCCCCCATGTTCTATTGCAAAGATTTTTTTTTTTTTTTTGGGTAAATAAATATCTATTGAAAATTGATAAATGAATGTGAAGGAATTAGTGAAAGAAATAGAATAAATTAATGCTACTAAATATATATAAGAATTCAGAAAACAAAGAAAAGATCGATCCATAAAACTGAGAAATTTTATTTCTTTATTATTATTATTATTATTTTTTGGGGATAATTATTTAATTCGTGAAGATTTGATATTGATTGATTACTATTTTAAGATATTTTGTGGCCTATTATTCTCCTAATTATGCTATATTTCATTTGTATGTTTGTATTTAATTTGATTTTTTTTTTTTCGATTTTAACATTTGCATTGCTTGGAGATTGAAGATCGAATAACAAGAAATTGGGTTGCTAGAAGAGCATTTACTGGCTAAAAGGTTAGGATATTATCAATTGATGATTAAGGAATGAATTATAGACAACTCATGACAGCTAATTCTTAGTGCATCGCATCAAAGTTGATAGGGATTTGAAGCATAGATAAAGCCTACTCCAGATATGGAAATTTGAAAAATTTATAAATTAATATAATATATACCTAGAGGAAAATATAATTCAAAAAAATGAGAAAAATACAATCCAAATAAATAGAGATGGAAAATTGCTATGAGAAAAGAAAAACATAAAAAAGAGGAGACTATAGTTACATGTAAAAAGTGAAGTGGTAAAGAAAAATATTGTTAAAAATTAATTTTTCTTTAGCAATTGTTTTAATTTTTCAAAAATTCAAATTTTTTTTTTTTAAAAAGGAAAAGAAATATAAGTATTTTGATTCCATCCTTGTGAAAGATTTAAGAAGAAAAAAAAGTTGTACCATTTTAACTAAACAAAATATCCTAAGTTTTTAAGACATGATTATCATGAACGAAATAAAAAAGTATTTTAATGACTTGTACAAGAAATAATTATAAATTTTATCAATTAACAAGCGACAACTAAAAATATTAGCATAGTATACGATACCATTGTTGTTGATGACATTTTTGTTACCACGACTTCATTGAGTTTAGTTTTTCCTTCTTCTCAATACTCTCAAAACTCACTGAAAGAGATAAACATATGATTCTAGAATTTTTTCTTGGAAACACAAAACAAAAATGTCTTACAAGGAAGGTTCATATATAATATTTTTATTAAAGATGAGGAGAAATGAGTGTAATTTTTTAATTTTTTTACATTTATATAATGGATATTATACATGTGTTATTATAGTATTTTTGTTACATTATAAATGCTATCAATAGAGTAATGACATAACCTTTCAAAAAAAAAAAAGAGTAATGACATATTATAGTAAGGACTACTATAATTAATGAACTTATATTTCTGTTTCACAAAATGACACCAAGAGTATAGTTAAAAATGTTCAAGCTAAACTTCTATAAATTTCAATGGGACACAAATTATATTTATTTCAAAAGTCACTATATTTTGGCCAAAATAATAAGTGTTTTGAATAAGGAGGAGGGGGTGAACAAATAAATAAATAAATAAATATATATATATATATATATATATATATATATATATATATGTGGGGAGCATGGCCCCCTAGCCCCTCTCCCTCCGCCCCCTAATTCTACATTTAGGGTAGAAGACAAATGTTAGGCCGAATTGTTTCTTATGAGGAATTGCAATTTTATTTGGTGATTTATATATAGCACCTTATTTTTAGGACAAGAGCAGGCGAGATTTTCACTCGGCAAAGCCAAATTAATAGCATCAAACTATTATTATTTTTATTTATAAAAATTAGAAGCTATGATGTATTTTTCTTAATAACAAAAGTTTTTTTTTCAAAAGTATATATTCTTTATATATAAACATTCTTGTTTTCACCTGTAACGGTCTTGATCAACATTCTTATGTTTTTGTTCGGCCAACTGGGCCTGCTGGTCTTTTGGGCCTCTGTATCCTTGGTCCTGTTAGCTTTCGGCTAACTTTCTTTGGGACAGTGTATTTTTTCTCTTCTTAATGCAATATTCAATTTAACTTTCAAAAAAAAAAAAAAATCATGGTAAGATAAGATCAGTTATAAACAAAAGTATAACCATCTAGTTTATAAAATAAAAAAAGGGTACACGTTATCTCTAAGTGGGTTCGGGGAAGTTTAGATGTACACAACCTTGTTTTCTTGCATCCGGAGAGATTGTTTGTTTTCTTCGAACTCATGACCTCCAAATCACAATAGAATAATTTAACCGTCCAAAACTTGCCTTAAAGTATTTACAGAATCTGAACCGGTCAAATGATTTTATTTATTATTTTCAAACTCACTTTTTATTAGAACCCCTTTCTTAGAACTATAAATTCCTTATTTTTATTTTGTGCATTTCTTTTTTGTTTGGTAGAAAAGGGTTTCGGTTAGGAGGGAAACAATAGTTGAAAATGGTGTCTCACATCCATAGAATTAGGACTTAGACTAGCGTCTGATTATAGAACTGTGGGTTTCAATGTTTTTTATTATTATTATTATTTGGGTTAATTACACTCACACCCCCTGAGGTTTGCCCTATTGATAGCCAGATGAAAGTTAACTTATTTTTGAACAATGACACCTCTGAAGTTTGGAAAAGTTAACAATGACACTCCTACCACCTCTGACACAAGGTAAATTGACCTTAATGGCCTTTGACTAGTCAATTGACCTATTTAAATCACAAATTTACCATTTAAACCTTTGGTAATCGTCTTTACATACCAACACACTTTAATGACATAAAGTAACCCATTTCCCAATTGTAAAAGATGCTCAAGTTCAATTTGAAGATGAACTCAAGCTGAAAGAATCAGTTGATTACTTACAAGCTTTCACCCAATAAACAACAACAGCAACCCACCGCCTCAATATTTAGCCACAAATTTGATAAGTTTATATATATATATATATATATATATATATATATATATATATATATATATATGTTTTTGTTTCTGTTCTGATTTTGATAATGTGATATGTGTTGTATGTGTATCAGTCATTGTGCATTGTTTGATTAGAGGTAGGATGAAGAGAATAACACTTTTGGGTCTGAACAGAGGAGGTAAGAGGACAAGAAATCGAAGAAAATCTCCATTAAGAACCACCACCACCACAAGAATGGCAATGGCAATAATCGTAATTTGATGATGTAGGTATATGGGATATATATGTGTGTGTGTGTGCTTGCGCGGGCGCGCGCGTGTGTGTGTATGGAATTTATATATGTATGAGCAATGAGAGGGATTGAAACAAAAGAAACTTTCAACATCTACCTCTCTACAATCCTCATCTATCTCTACAATGGAGACTTCAAAATTGAAACAGCCAGACCTAAATAAGCCACAAACCTTAACACCCTATAGCAGTGGAAGAAGAAGCAACGATTCAAATTCGTCCAAATTCGAGTTGTGGATGGTTCGAAACCTTTCTTTCCCGTAACCCAATCTCCTCCGCCGACGAGTTGTTCATCGACGGTGTCCTCCTCCCCCTCCACCTTCTTCATCGCCTAAACCACCTAGTCGTCGGTTTTGCAAAAACTTTTCAAGTAATTTGATTACCAGTGGTAGGTTTTGGGCTCGTTGCCGTCGTTGAAGAAGAAGATGGGTAGGTCTTCAGGCTCGTTGTCGTCTGATCGCAACTATCATCGTTCTCATTCAAGGAGGCTCAGAGAAATGGTCGTAACAATGGTCGGAATGGTGCATTCGTGGTCGCAGACATTGAACTCTATGATTTTCCCCAAAATA